GAATAATCACTCTTAGAATGTATATGTTAAAATTGTAATTTAATTCTGCATTGTATGTGGTAGTGAAGGAACTCACATTCAGTTTATGTTTCAAAAACATAGCTGTCCACAAGATGCTATGATAAGCAGACATTGACTCTGTCATCATCACAAACTATTCATATCTGTAAGGTGAATAGTTTAGTATATATTTTCCTTTTCTGATTACATAAATGTATAAGATTTATAGAAATATTTCCTTCTGAATTATCAAGACTAAAAATTGAGTATAGGTATATTTTTTTAAAAATTGACATTCATTGATAATATTGTAATCTGTCTTTTTATGTATATTAGATGTGTGTAATATAAGAAATGTTTTTTTTTAATTTGCAGTACATTAAATTTAAGTTGGTAAATGATTATCATTCTTCAAGCCAAGAGCATCCAACATATTATTTTCTTGACCAAACACTTTTTCAGGTCTCCCTCTGAAACAGTCTCACTTTTAAATATATATTACTATCCTACAAAATATATGATAGTTTTTAGAGTCCAAAATGATGTTTAATAATGCCCAAATGTAATATTATTCACTCCATAGGCAGCTCTTGGATTCAGTAAAATACTATGGTGTATGACATCTGGGGCACCAAGGGTCACTACATGGAATATCATTTGGAGTTACAAGAAACTCTAACTTATGAAATTTGATGAGAATAAAATAATATAACAAAAATATGTAAAAATATTGTTTTTCAATCAGCTATTGGTAGCTTTCGACCTGTGGGAAATAGAAATTATAACCTATTCGTTTAGGAAGACACATTTATCTAACCATTTGAGCTCTCTGAAGAATTGCTTTATGAATCCCAAGTTCCAATTTAGTGAAAATACTACTGTGTTCCCTGGAGAGATTCCTCCCTTGGGCATTAAGACCTCCAAATCCACTGAGTCCAAGGTTGAAGGGATGGGAAATGATAATTCTTTAGGTAGGTTATGTGGTATAGTAGTGAAAGAGGCCACTTTCAGCTTTATCATTTGTTCCCAGTCCTGTACATGCTAAAGATAGGAGAGACAACAATATCTACTAGCCCCCGCTACCCATTGTTTCCCAACCTATGAATTCTGGCTATAAAGGAGATACCACCACATATTGGCTAATGATTTTAGGCATATCTGCATCCTACCATACAGAACACCTTAACCTCTTAAGATGTCACCCAGATGACCCAGAGGGGGCCATCACTGACCCTTTAAAAGGCCATTTCATTTCATTTTAGCAAACCATATAACTCTGGGTGACAGAAACATGGTAACATCAGTAAATTCTGTGAGTATGAATCCATTGTCTTCCTTCCTTCTGTATAAAATTACTTTCTTAGTTGAGGGCAATGTAATATCTGATACTATAGTGATGAGTAAGATTTTCTATAGGTTTATGAATGATTATGTGGACAGAAATACTATAAAGAGAGAAGCAAAATCCATATGCATATTAAATATCTATATTCATGAGAACAAATGTCTGCCCACTCCATAAGGGAAGGGATCCAATATAATCAACCAGCCACCAGATAGCCAGCTGGTTTTCCTGTGGAATGTTATCATCTTGTGCCTTATTATTGGCCTGTTCTGTTGGTAGATTAAATGCCCAGCAGTGGTGGTGGCCAAGTCAGCCTTGATAAGGAAAAATCTCTATTGTTAAGTCCACAAATAAGCTTCGCCCATACTGTCATACTCACTTTGTAAATGAATCCATTGAACAAGCACCAGAAAAGCTAGCAAAAGAAGCTGACTGGTATCCACAGGAGGAATCCTCTTGTCCACTCGACCACCAATAGCCTCCTCTGCAGTGGATGCCACTTGGAGCACACTTACATAGGGCATGTCTATCCACATACATCTCCCCCACAACTCCTTATCACTTCTAATGTTATTCTTTCCAGGTCTCTTTCCTGTTTATCAACCTTTTTAGCCACTACCCAAGAACCTTTGTAGGGTACACCACCAGCCATCTCCCATTCCACAAAACATGGGTAACCAGATGTAGCATCTGAAATTCTTCCCTCTGAGAGAATTCTCTTTATCCATTCTCTTTATCCATGGCCATCCCAAGTAGAGCTGTAATACAGTGGCCAGCATGATTGCAGACCTTTCTCTCAACAAGATCATGCTTTGACACTACAGTGTAAATACCTTTTGTAAAGCAGTTCAGTTTTTGGTTTTTTTTATTTTCATTTAGGTGTTCATAGGGAACTCCTCATGAAACCATAATTATTTTTTTTCCAGCATGTTGTGGGGGTACAAATGTTAAGGTTATGTATATTGCCCTAATTGTTAATTGGGGGGTAAGTGGAAAGGCCAAAGGAGCATATACCATGGGAGTTTGAATTACTTACCTCAGGTAGTTTCCTTGTAATTTCTAGACCTGCTAGGACATTCTCATATATATAACATTTCCACTTTACAGTGGAATGATGCTGTGCATGGTCAACTCTATGATTGTGTGAATCTGATAACACACAGTTTATTATGGGCTTTCTGAGTAACATAATCATTTAATCATGATTGGATGTTCAGTTTCTACCCTGACCCAACAGAAGATCAGGAGAACACTTGACTGCAGAAAATAGCAAGGGCTTACACCAATACCCTAAGTATCTGTGTTGTTATTCTTTACTAGGGCTTGTCAGAGACTCCATACAGCAGCTCATTGATATAGGCCACTTTTGAGTCCAGGATACAGTTAACATATCTAGCAATTCTCAGAGCTTTAAGCCAACACCTTAAATCCTGAATTCCATGCAAGAATATAAATTTGGGTGTTATAATCTTTTACTTTATCCTTTTTAGTCTAATACCCTTAGAATATACTCTTATACATGCTCCTTTTCCTCTTGGATAGAAATTGGCAAGATCCTGCAACTCTTCTAGTGTACAAACTAACTCATACCAGATCACACCTTATTCTTCCTCACCAGTATCCTTACCTTAGCATAAGATCTAATAGAAAATCACAGTCAGTTGACAATATAGTTCTGCAAACCTTAATCAGGCTCTAGACTTAATCCTCAGCACAGGTGCCTTGCATATGCAAGAGATAAGGAATTTCTTTAGAGTTGTCATAAAGGCTTTCTGAATTTCTATCTGGGTCTTGAGTTGGACATTCAAGGCTTCCAGTTTAACTCTTTCTCTATAAACCCTCTCTAGTATAAGAAATACCCATCCTATTCCACAATCTTTGTCAACAAGTGACATCAAAGTGAATAATTGCCTCAGCCACTGGATCTTCCTATGCTTTATCCCCCATCTGCACCCCATTCTATCCCACCGCTAGTGTTAATTTGAGTAATCATGATGCTACCACATGCTGCATATTACCCGTGTCCCATTTCTCCCTGGCAAGGTTATCCTTACATTCTTCAAATAGGTGAGCAACCTAAGCCTAGGATTCCATTTTAAGGTCTGTTTCCTGGAACCATTCCTGGTACCAATTACTGCTTTGGTCAGGGTCCAACAGGCACCTGCTGGCACACTCAAACTTTTTAATTTGAGAAGTATTTAATAAGAGACTGTTTATAAAGGAGAGGACACTAAGGAAATCAATAAGGAAAAGCGAACTTCTTTAAACTTAGCTACCAAAAAAAAAAAAAAAAGCCATTATCACCTGTAAGCTGAAGGATAAAAGGAAAAGAATTAGGTGGGCCTGGTGGCATACACTTTTAATCCTAGCACTTTGGGAGGCTGAGGCAAAAGGAATCCTTGAGGCCACAAGTTCAAGACCAGCCTGAGCAAAAGTGAAACCCCATCTCTACAAAAAATAGAAAAATTAGCCAGGCCATGGCAGCATATACCTTTAGTTCCAGCTACTTGGGAGACTGAGGCAGGAAGATTGCTTGAGTCCAGGAGTGTGAGGTTGCAGTGGCTTTGATGATGCCACTGCACTCTATCCTGGGCAACAGAGCAAGACCCATTCGGCATTAAAAAAAAAAAAAAAAAAAAGATTCCCAGAATAAAAAGAGAGTTGTAGTATAGAAGGGATGACCACCCAACAAGAGCTGTAATCTTAGGTAATACAGCCACTGACAAGAGACCAATAAGCAGATGGGAGAAGCCAGGGGAATAAATATCCCAACCTCTGTCTTTCTTTTTCAGACTTTAAATTTCCTGTCCATCCCCCTCAGTTGTACTCCAGCATCTTCCATTCCTATGAGCAAATGCTACAGTCAGCTGTTTCACCCCTACATCAATAGGGGGATTATTAAAGCTCTTTATTTGCTGGCTATTTCCTTCTCACTGCCTTGGAGAAGGGTGTTATTACAGTTTGCTTGACCAAGTTTGTTCCACCTACAGCATTTCACCATTGTCCCACAAGGAGTTTGTCTCCCATAGGGTAAAATTTCCACTGTTTACCCTGTTTTACAGCATGGAATACAGATTTTTGTTTGTTTGTTTATAAATAGTTTCAGTTGCTTTTGGGGGGACTATGAGAAGGATGGAAGGTGAAAGACAGTAAGCAGCAAAGATTCAAATCTCTATAATATAAATTCTTTTATCCTACTTATGAAGATTTTCAAGAAAGAGAATTCTATAATGTTTCCTCCCATCCATATGCTGACTTGTGTCCTATGACTACAATTTATCTAAAATAAGTAACTTGAAAGTTAAGCCTAGTCTTTATTTGGCTGTGAGATTTTAACTATAATACATTTGAACTTTTTAAAAAATTTAATCTGAAAATATGCAAAAATAAAATGTTCTCTTCGAAATATTAATTTCAGTAACAAAATTGAATTTCAATTTTGCACTAATTGCCTAGCAATAAAACATTTACATAGGGATGTTTTCTCTTTATATAACTTACACTATGAAAAATAAAACAAAATCAATAAAAAGATAAAATTCCATTTCCATAGTGTATGACCTCTGTATTACCCTACGAGCAGTGGACAAAAATTTTAATCATCAAACAAATACTCCTGGATCTTCTACAGACAAGGACTCCTGCATTCTATAACCTTAAGTGTTGTGTCTGACTGATATTTCTTTCTGATCACATCCATTTCACCATCATCAAGTATAAATGATGCCAGCGCTGGAATCTGAGAAAAATAGTTCTTAGCCAGGATATGTTTGTGCTTGATCTTGTGAATAAATGAGGGCCTGTACTCCTGCAAAGAAAAAAAAACTCAAATTCTATTAAATATCACAGATATATTTTGCCAGGTAAAAACACTGGCATGCTTGTCAGTTCTTTCAGCCCAGAATATATGTATATATATATATATTTTTTTTTTCTCACTTTATCCATCATCATTCAGGGCTCAGCTCCTATGACACTTTAACCAGGAAGCTTTCCTCAATTCTCCCTATGACCTATGTTCAAACCAATGCTAGCTCATTCTCTCTTCCGTTTATATTTAGAAGTCTGATTTTGTATAGAGTGAGATGTGTCCAACTTTCCTAGTCTTCATCCTAACTAGGGGTGGCCATGTGATGTGCTAAGCTTCTGACATATATACATGTCATTGCATAAAGCGTACAGAAAAGCTTTTAAAAGTGGTTTTTAAAAGTGGAATGACTCGCCTATCAACCACCTTTAGCCTTTTGCCAAACCTGAAATATAGATATAATGCATGAGATGACATAGCTATTATGTCACTAAGAGTGCACAAGCATGAGTGTGAAAGCCGAAGGTTAAATACAGCTGAGTAAAAGGTTAGAAGGCCTGAGTTTCTGAAAGCACTGTGCAGATGCCACACTAGCCCCAGAATGCCAACCTCTGACTTCGTATTCCATGAGAAAACTAAACCCACATTTCATTAAGTCGTTATAAATTGTCTATTATTTGCACATAAAACAATGAAGAATAATAGTCGTAACATATTTACTTTTTTCTGTCCAAGCATTTGGCACATTCAAAAGTAAATTCTGGTTAAGTTACTAAGTGCAATCTAGTCTCTTTATTAATCTTCATTGGCCCTCTTTGCAATCAAATCACAAATACAACCTGTACTTTCTCCTAAAATTTTTATCTTCTGAGAGTGAGACATTCCCTCACTAAAGATGTCTTCATAGGGTTAAATCTAAGATAAAACAAAGTCCTGAGGAAAACGAGCCAAAGGATTTGTTATTTTTTCAGAAAGTAGTATATAGGAATATCCTAGTTTCCTCTCTACAAATTTACTATGTTAAAATATTCATATTCATCCTTTGCACTAATCTAATTGCTCCATCACTTCTTAGCTCATATTTAATTCAAGAAAAACGAACACACTTCTGATGTACAGAACTTTATAGGTTTTCAAAGTACCTTTACAGAACTAAAAATTATTAAACATAAGCATATTATGGTTCATACATTCAAAGGAATAATAAGTAACTCTTTAAGAATAATATGATATGGAAAATATCCAATAACTATTGTTAAATAAAGCAAACAAACCAAGTTTCAGAGTAATTTAACATAAAATCAATGCTACAAAAAACTATATATTATGTATATACACATAGAAAGCTTCCAGAATTTCAATAAATTATACACAAGAAATAGTAGTTATCCCTGCAATGTGGAAACAGGGATTGATGAATATCAGGAGACTTTTATTTTCTATATTACACCCTTGTAATTCTTTCAGATTTTTTAAACCAATAATGTCTTGCTTTTACTACAATTAGAAATAAAATGCACTCAAAATTTTTAAAGTGTATTGATACATATAGTTACTATCTAAGTTGATTCATGCCAAAAACTATGCTGAGAGCTTTAAATAATGGTCTATTTAGTCCTCAAAGTTTCCCAATGATGAGATATTATTACCTCTTTTTTATATATGAGAAAACTAGGGCATTGAGACATTAGCACACTTTTCCAGTTTCTCCCAGGTCATAAATGCTAGAATTCAAAGCCAGGGCTGCTTTTATCCCTCTTTACTGATTCCACATTTTTAGCTCATCTTTCTAAAAATTTATAAACCAAAAAGGGCAGGTCTTAATGTCCTACAAATGGTTCATGACAGAGATAGGAAAGAACTGGACCAGTACTGTGGTTTTAAGTCCATGATTGTTCCTACTTGGGCCAATGTGCACACAAATGAGAGATCAATCTGCCTCAGAGTTCACAGAAGTCTTTTTCCATGTGTTTCCTATAACCTGGGTCATTATTGCGGGGATTCAAGATTATTTTAACTTTTGAGCATTTTTACTCCCTAAGAAAGTAAATATTTCTATGAATTAAGGAAACTCTGAAAATGCTTTAACTTGCTGCAAGATTTGCAAGATATAAATTAGTCCTTACACTGAATATTAATACCTAAAAGATTACATCAGCCCAAAACCATAAAAAAAGCAAATGTTTTTTGAGTTTGTCTGGTTGTGAACCTTAGCTCTATTTACAGAAATTTGATAAGATTGGCATCCTGAAATTAGAAATGCATGTGAATAGAACATTTAATTTGATACTGCAGAAATTTGATTAAATACACAAAGGGAGCTGTGTGGATTAATTGAAGAAGCACCGGAATATCAGCTTTGGGAATGAACTTCAATCTCATCATGGGCCCTAGATGAAATGATATTGCTTGTATTGGCTATGCTTCCAGTGATTAAATATTTATGAGGCAGCTTAGTTTACTAAATATAACATTTAACACAGCTTCAATTTTTTGCTGACCTTTCTTTCAATCCCTAGAGTGAAATTTTTCTTAGCCTGGCTTCTTAAAACTGAAAAATTACTTAAAAAGCTAAAAATTTAATCTCTTCTCTTTATATCATCTCCTCTCCCGGCCCCCCAAAAAGAAAACAGGGAATAGCACTATTCAAAATGACTATGATATTTGACGTCATTTCTTTATTTTCCCTTACCAGACAGCTTGAGTGAAATTAAAGGTGCAGTAATTTAATCAGTAGACAGCAGAGAATCAGTATCAGTTCTTAGGATCCTGGGCTCAGTGTAAAAGGAGCTCTCTAGGAATTCCTCAGGGGCCCTCAATTCTGTTCATCAAAATGTTTTACAGATTGCATCTTGTAAGTTACCGAAATTACAGTAAATGACATTTAATTTTTGCAGTGCTTTCTCCACTCCTGGTTAGTTGGAAGCAATGAAAAATAGAGCCTCGGAACTATACTCCATCAGTATGTTGCTATTGAGAACACAAAATTATGAACAAAATTTCTTTGATAATTGAATGTGCTTTTAGGTAGACTCGTGATGATTAATCAAAGGAGGACAGATTCTGGGTGCCGTAATACCCACGCAGTGGTAATATTCATTTATTCTTTCAACAAATATTTATTATATTAAGCCTCTAATCTGTGACAGACACTATTGGAGGTATTAGAGACACAGGTGCAAATAAGGTAAACAAAATCTCTGCCTTCATGGAATTTACTGTGTAATATGATTGAACTTGCTATTAGGAGGGACTAGTAGCATATTTAGGACTTGTAATGTGTTCAAACCTCTTATATTGACCTTTTACGTGCTTATTTTAGATTCCTTTTAATTTTAATCTCTGCCATATATGCCATCCACAAATTGTGTTATTGTTAATACATGAGTTCTGCATCTTCATCTGATGGAAGTATGTATGATGGCAGTCAAGTTATGTCTAATAATTTCAATGATTAAAAGAGCTTCCTAAGTTCAACTTTCTTACCTCTTCAATATTTGTTAGCTTGAGATGAGCAGCCCCTTCATCTTTGGTAAGAAGAATGCAGTTCCAGGGGGACCACTCTAAGGATTTATTCCACCTGACCATGACCAGGTCATTGAGATCGTCCCAGGCACTGAGTACTGACTGGGATGCCCAGATGTTTTCTGTCAGGTACTGAATATCTTGTAGCTGCATGTCAAAATAAGTTTAAAAAATAATGTTTTCTTATAAACATAAATGTTTTAAGATTATTAAATTATTTGAGAAAATAAATTATATTGAACATATTTTTTAAAAATAAAACATTATTTATGAGGTTTCAGTGGCACATAGTCCCCTATTTTTCGCCAAACTTCTGTTCATTCTGCCTAAACTATATTATCAATCTCACAGTCGTGACCCCATCTTTAATTCAAAGTAAGCTGTATAAATTTCTTCCAGTATGATAATTTTACCAATACCTTAATAATACCTTAATAAATATATGATATTAAATAATTTTCCAAAATTCATTAGTAACTATCATCTTATTTTCAGGGCCAGTATAGGGATCTTTTAAAAGTTTTTACTGCCATTTTACAATGAAAAAGCTGAGGTTTAATAAAGATTAATTAACTCACTGTTAATTAAAATATTTTATTGTTTTAATTTAAAAGGGGGGAAATGAAATAACTGTTTAAAACTTTTTAAAATTTAAACTATATTTGCAAAACTTACAGAATGACTTTTCATGAGGTCTGCATATATAAATTTAGAATTATCAGAGAGGGGCAATCTTTACAAAGTATAAGCATAGAAAAAAAGAACCATTGTTGTGAAAGGTTTGCGTGAGAGAGCAGAAGTCTTTTCTATAAAACCAGTGGACAAAAACCTAAACAACTTACTAAAGTAAAAAAAACAAACAAAAAAATCTTGTCACCATCAGCTACTACACTATTTCATAAATGGATAATTCAAAATATTAAACTCAACTAATGAAATTTAGCTATTACTTAATGTTACAAAAGATGATACTATAACAGCTGCTATAGAAAAAGGAATCTACAGAATTTTAAAATGTAATGTTTCATATATTTTTGCTTATATTCAAAATATGTGCCTGGTTTACATTTTTGTTTTTAATTTAGTTGCATCAATTCTATGAATAATTTCAAAATTGCATCAAAGAGAATGAAGTATTTATTTGCATGTGAATGTCAAATATGTACGTCGTTAAGTGTGGTTGGCAGCCTTTAAGAGTCGCCTACTGCCTACCTTTCAAATAGTCATTGTTCCTGAAATTGTTGTAATAAGAGAAGAATACTCTTGTCTATTATATTAGGCATATGTGTATGGATTACAGATAAACTGTCTCATAAAACATTCAAATATCGTCTCTAAGCAGATCTTTTTATATATCTTGGCTTTCTTTTTTTTACATGTCATCATGTTCAAATTCAGTATATGCTAATCTTTGCTATTGCCTATGAACTTTACTATTTCATGAGAAAGTTTATGTTTTCCATTTATGCCCAACAATATTACTAAAATAAATATTAATTAAAATGATACCATTAAAAGGGGGAAAAGCTATTGGACATTCATATTTGTCTGCTAACCCTAGATATTGGAAAAGTAAGACAGGGGAGACCAAAACCCTACACAGGTACAATATTCAAATTAATTCACACCTAACAGAGACTATCTTATCTGCAAAGTGATAATGCTCCCTAGAACTTTTTATTCAATATGTGTGATGATTAATTTTATGCATCAACTTGACTGGTCCATGGGGTGCCCAGAGATTTGGTTAAACAGTACCTGGGTTTTTCTAAGACAGTATTTTTGGATGCGATTAACATTTAAATCAGTAAGCTGAATAAATCAGATGGCCCTTCATATGTGGGTGGGCCTTATCCAATTGGTTGAAGGCCTGAATAGAACAAAAGTTTAACACACACACACACCAGTAAGGAAAAATTTGCTTGCCTTTCTGATGATCTTATAACTGAGATTGGCTCTTCCTGATTTTATAGCAGCCTCTAGGACTTGAACTGGGACATTAGCTCTTTAGATTTTGGACTTGCCAGTCTCCATAATTGTGGGAGCCAATTCTTTGTAGTTATATATACATGATATCCTATTAGTGGTGTTTCTCTGGAGAACACTGACTAATGCAATATGAAATATTGAGGTGACACTTGTATGTGAGTTAAAGTCCTAATGAGTCTAAGATTCCTAGCAAGGAAATATACATTTGTCATGTTAATAATTCTTGAAGAAAAGCATAAAAGAATTTAAACTCTGAAATAAACATCAGTTTTATTAATAAAATATTCTTTCTATTGGAAAAAATATGTAATCATTTCAATCTGTGTTTTTCAAACTGTGGGTTGCTACCTCTTAAGTAACACCAAACTTTTCCAAGTAGATATTAGAATGAGTAAATTTGGACTGAATAGAAAATATCAGAACGTATATATAGTGAAACCTTCAGGAAATTTTTGCTTCTGAGGAAGAATAGCATGTGTTTACATGTATAGACTCTAGGAACCAGAATTCCTAGGTTTGAATCCCAACAGTGATACTTATTAGTGCTAATTTGAGCAAGTTAGTTAACCTCTTGGTGCTTCAATTTTCTCATCTGCTGAATGGAAATAGTATCTATTTTGATAGAATTGTTGCATTGATTAAATCAATAAAACATGTAGAGCCATGTTAGCACTATCTGAGTGTTTAGCTATTATTATTATTATTATTATTATTATTATCATTATCATGCAAGGCTGTGCTAGGTTATAACAAAAATACATTTTTACTATCGATTATGATTTAAAAGTTTGAAAGCTATTGATTCAGAAGAATTTTTTAACAAAGCACACTATGTTTGGAATCTTTTTTTAAGTCTCTAAAATTTTTATTCATAAGAGTGCCTATTTTCATATTTGATATTAAATATAATTTAAATTAATAACTTTACAGAAAATTTGACCTTTTTGACAGTCTGTGAATACAAATATCATTATTGGGATCAACCTTGCTCTATGAGTTACTTTTATCAATAAATTGCTAATGTTAGGCAAAGTCCTATCAACAATAAGTAAGACCTTTTCTTTTCTCTCCCCCATACGTAAGTCCAAACAGTGTCAGGAATTAGATTTTATGTTGTAGAGACAAAGACTCTCCTCTGGCCTAAACAACCCAAGAGAAATCATGGAAGAACCAAGGAGACCAAAGTAATGGTTAAGGTAGGAATTCAGGAGAGAGTCCATGATCTCACAGGCCCCAGCCTCTCTCAGCTTGGAGGTGCTCTTATAACAGGCAGATTACTGACAGGGTCAATGATCCAATGCAATGGTTCTTTCAAAAGAACTCTGGACTCAGAACTTTTCAGTGATGGGTTATGGATATTATGATGCTAATAATTTAAGTAGACAAGTATCCATCTACTCAAAGCCCTTCCCTAAGGTACTTTTTACTTTCTATGAACCTTAGTTTTTACCTTTCATATTATTTACCATCATAGTCATATTCAATAACACTAATTATTACTGTTATCCATAAACACTAACATGTGCATATGCAACATCAATTTCTGGAAAAGCATTTATTCATTCATTCAATAAATATTGAGGACCTATATGAACTTGGCACTGTATTAGGTTATAGAGACATAATGGTGAGCAAGAGGAGAAAATAGGCATAGCCCTGCAGTCATAGAGCATACTGTCTAGCAGAACAGACAGTTATTAAACAATCACACACACACAAACATACATAAGATTGCAAGACAGCCTCCTAGACAGAGGCAAATTTCAGCCTTGTTGGCACCCCTTAGTAACCATACCTGCATCAAGAAAGCAATTTTAGAATCATCTTCATAATCAGCTTCTGAATAGTAGAGCCGTTGAAGTAAACATTTGTACTTCAAAAATGATTCTCGTTGTTTAGCCTCATTCTCAAGGCTAGTGCAGCGACGGCACCGGTACACACGGTATGAGGTGGATGACACAGCAAACTCCGTAGAAGGCAAATATTGCTGACACCCATAGCAAAAGTAAATCTTCCTATAAAACTTCAATGGGTCTTGAGGGATCTAAATAGTAAAAAAAAAAAAAAAAGAAGAAGAAGAAGAAGAAGGAAAGAAAGAAAGAAAAGTATAAAAGCCAGGCCAAATACTTTATTAACCAACTGAATCATTGAGACCTAACTTATCTTAGAATGTGATAGAGTTGGTTAATTTTTAAAGTGATATTTTCCCCTTAACCTCCTAGTCTATACAAAATTTAAATTTCAAGCAATATCCATTTACCCTGCCAAATATTAAAAATCTGTTATTCATCAACCCTTAGACATATGTGATAAAAATCACTTAAAAAATGACCGAAAAAAATTAGCAAACAGAGGCTTTTAGCACTTATTTTTAAGAAGAGTTTCGATTTATTTTTGCTGTTACAATAATTATTCCTATGGGCAATAGTTAGATTCACATATAAATAAGATCCCACTAAACCAATTATTTTTCTTATTTCATTTATCTTAAAAATAAACTTAAAATAGTTCAATGGTCAATTTTCAAACTTTGAAACTCTGCATCTAAAGCAGTGGGCAGGAAGTAATTCTACCATAGAAGCATCGATCCAGTGATTCTTTATGGGTTAAAGTACCATAAATGAAGGGATGACTGCATGAATGGTGAACATTTTCAACACAAACTGAATAATGGCTTATATAAGCCAGTCTTTCCTAATTTATGATGCATTAGTATTTCTGGCCTCCATGATAGAAAAGATCAAGTAGCAACAGAGTTGGCATTTGATACATAAAACTTTCAAAGATATTTTTTATAAAGAAGGAAATGGGCATCAATATCCTGTATTATTTTTTCTCTTACTCAAGGTGGATTTGAAATATTTACCATTATAATCCCTTCTTATGTTTTTGTTCTGAATCTCTGTTACCTTTCTGCACCTTCCCCCTACACTGCTTTACTTTTCCTAAATACTCTATCTTCCCAAAAGGTAGTCTTTTTTGAAGACTTCATTGTTCCATGCCTTATAATTGGGGAGATAAGACAGTATGTAAATTTAAAAGGTAGTCAGTTCTACTGGAGAAAACAAAAGTGATCTACAGATATGATCAAAGAACTAGAAGGCAGCCGGGCGCGGTGGCTCACGCCTGTAATCCTAGCTCTTGGGAGGCCGAGGCGGGCGGATTGCTCAAGGTCAGGAGTTCAAAACCAGCCTGAGCAAGAGCGAGACCCCGTCTCTACTATAAATAGAAGGAAATTAATTGGCTAACTGAAAAATATATATAAAAAAAAATTAGCCGGGCATGGTGGCACATGCCTGTAGTCCCAGCTACTCGGGAGGCTGAGGCAGAAGGATCGCTCCAGCCCAGGAGTTTGAGGTTGCTGTGAGCTAGGCTGACGCCACGGCACTCACTCTAGCCTGGGCAACAAAGTGAGACTCTGTCTCAAAAAAAAAAAAAAAAAGAACTAGAAGGCAACTTCTCTGAGTTTTCTTATTCTGAGATCACACATTTAATTTAACTGGAATAATTATTTTATCTTCCTGCCTTCTAGGCACTAAACTGGACAAATATGAGTCAACTTCATAAAAACTAGTTAGTACAACTTTCCCTTATAAGGGAAAGTTGGATAGACTTATAAGGGAAAGATGGATAGACTATTATAAAGCCATGCAAAGATATTCTCTACCCATCTGAAATTGTGCAAGAAAGAAAATCACCTATCCCCATTATGAGTATGATGGCAAAGGGCTCCATTTAAGCTATGGAATTTAACTCTAAAGAATTCTTCAGAGAACATTGAGTGCTTTGTCCGGGCTCACTCCCAGAAAGCCGGCCGGGTGGGGTGGGTAGTGGTGTTCCTTCAAGTTCTTTTCCCATTATGCAAACCAAAAATGTGCAAATGAGGCATTCCTTTTTAAAGTCAGTAACATTATTTTTTTTAACATAGTATGTATTTTTGGATATTAAAGGGTATATCCCTACCCAAAATAGAAGGAGTAAAGGATAATCTATGGATTTGTCCTGGATACAAGAAAATAGTCTTAAATCCTTTGTTTTAATTAATACATTGCTTATATATTGCAGGTGGGGATTCAACATGGTTCAGCCAGTTTGGAAAAAAGTTTTGCAGTCTCTTATAAAGATAAACATGCATATACCATGTGATCCAACAAAGCTACTTTTTAGTTATTTACCCCAAAACAATCAATTTACTCAAAAACTCATATCAAGTATTTATAGTGACTTTATTAATAAAACCCCAAACTCTAAACAACCCAAATATCCTACAACTGTGAAAGGATTAAAAAAAAATTCCTGTATATACAGACTGTAAGAATATTGCTCAGCTATAACAACAAACTACCGATACATTCAAAAACATGGGTGAATCTCAATTGAAATTCACCACGTGAAAGAAGTAAGTCCCAAAAAACTACATATAGTATTATTCAACTTATATGACATTCTGAAATAGATAAAACTATAAAAGTAATATGTGAATCAGTTTTTTCCAAGGATTTGAAACAACATGAAGGGTGACAGGACTATTTTTTGTCTTCACTGTGCTGTTGGTTACATGACTGTATGCAGTTTTCAAAACTCACCAGAAAGAGTGAATTCTACCAAAGGTAAATTTAAAAAGTAAATAAAATGGTAGAACATTATATAAAAGTGTAGAATATAAAATTCTATTATATTACTCCAAATATATATAAACTGAGTAAGTCCACAGAGAACTAGAACTAGACTTATGTTATATTTTAATTTTTTTGCAATACAATTAAAATTTTTTTTTTTTTTTTTTTTTTTTTTTTTTGAGACAGAGTCTCACTTTGTTGTCCAGGCTAGAGTGAGTGCCGTGGCGTCAGCCTAGCTCACAGCAACCTCAAACTCCTGGGCTTGAGTGATCCTTCTGCCTCAGCCTCCCGAGTAGCTGGGACTACAGGCATGCGCCACCATGCCCGGCTAATTTTTTTTTTTTATATATGTATCAGTTGGCCAATTAATTTCTTTCTATTTATAGTAAGAGACGGGGTCTCGCTCTTGCTCAGGCTGGTTTTGAACTCCTGACCTTGAGCAATCCGCCCGCCTCGGCCTCCCAAGAGCTAGGATTACAGGCGTGAACAATTAAAATTTTTTAAATCAATTAAAAGGAAAAATATAAAAATTAGATAATTTTTATTCTTCTAGAAGTTTTGACTAAATATTGAGATTTTGCTTGATCAAAAAAGCTAATAATTTTTAGTCATCTTCTTAAATAAATTTAGCTAAAAATAATCATTGAAATAAACACTATTTATAATTATTTGACATCCCCCAAAATTTTACTGGAAGTGTTTTAAATATTACTGCAGAGCAAGAAGGCAATGAGGAATTTGTCTTGGCTTTAGATAAAGAGCAGAAGCCTGGAGTTGGAAAAGATAATTTAATTTAAATACATGTTACATTGGAAGTTCTTTCAGGATATCCATATGGATATGACTGGTAATAAGTATAACTGTGTGATAAGTATTATAAAGAACACAAGGTGTAACATGGAATCTCAAAAATAAAGACTCAAATCCTCTCTGAGGCCTCATGAAGATGAGGACCTGAGAGTTGAGTCTTAAATAAATAGGAACTGGCTGGGTAAAATACGGGATGGCATACCAGGAAGAAGCAACAGTATCTGCAACAGAATGGAGGTATCAGAGATCATGATGCATTCAACATATTCAATTGGAAAGTTGGTGCAGAGATCAGGAAAGAATTAAAAGCTGGAAATACAGGCACAGAATAAGTTACACACATAAGTTTAGTTTATTGACACACAAAATAATCATTCAAAAGAGATTTCACCAATGAGATGGTCTTCCACATGGATTCCAAGTAAAGTGTTAAAGCAAAATTTGAATATACTTATATTTGCTATATCACATTTTAGGATTTTGAAAAAGTAACAAATGATGATTAAAAAAGTAGAATACCTTAATGTATCTTGCAACTTCAGGATTAAACAGAGGTGTTTTGATATAATGTAAAAAGAGTGTTGCAATTCTTTTTCTGAGTCCTTCAAGGTTATGATGTTTGACTCCTCTCATCATAAGATCAACTTCTCTGTCAATCAATTCTAGAATATCCTGAGTCAGTTTACATTCATGTTCCTACATAAAACACAAGAATGCTCAGTATAAAATTTTCAAATTAACTGTTTGTTTTTGAAATTACCATCCAAAAAAACCAAAAACTATAATATAAAAAAATGAAACATTGCTAACAGGAATATAAATTGGTAAAACTAATTTGGAAAAAAAAATTGTCATTATCTAATAGTAGAGTTGAAAATATCCATAATCTATGACCCAGCCATTCTACTCTCATGTGAGAAATGTACACATAGAGCTCTATTGTTCACATTAGTAAAAAATTAGAAACAACCAAATATCCATAAAGAAATTGATTATATAAATAATTATTGTTTACTCATACAATGGAATATTATCTAATATATGGAAAGGAATTAACTATAGCTATATACAATAACAAGCTTAAATCTTACAAATTAATTTTTGACTAAATAAGCAAGGCACAAAAGAATACATATGGTATAATTTCATTAAATTAAAAAATTAGCAACACTAAACCATATTATTTAGAGATATATACAGAGGTGGTAAAAACTATGAAGAAAAATCAAAGAAATGACTACCATGAAAGTCAGTATGGTAGTTACTTGTTGGAGACAAGAGGAGGGATTATGATTAGAAGGGGAAGGGAGACCTGGAAGTTGGTAATATCCTGTCTAATACTACCTAAACTGTACATATACATTGTATTCATTCTTCTACATGTTTATTATAGCTCACAATAATTTTTAATAAAGTAATAAAAATAAGTATGTTTGAATGAGACAGTTGCAAGTAAAAGGTAAGTGGTTAATGTACAAGTATTTATAAGTAGTATTATAAAACACAAGTAAGTTCCCCTAACTAACCAAAGGAAAACTAGAAGATATACATTTGAATGAAGGAGTCAGAAAGTAAAGTCAGTCAGATCATCCAGACAGAAAATCAACAAAGAAACATTGGACTTAATCTGTACTATAGCCCAAATGGACCTAATAGATATTTACAGAATGTTTTATCCAACAGGTGAAGAATTCACGTTCTTTTCCTCAGCTCATGGATAATTCTCAAGGACATACCATATGTTAGGAAACAAAACAAGTCCTCAAAAATCCAAAAAGAAAAATTAAAATCATTCCAAGTATTTTCTCTGACCACTATGGAATAAAATTTGTAATCAATAATAAGAGAAACACTGGAAAATATACAAACACATACAAATTAAACCATATGCCCCTGAATGACCAATGAGTCAATAAAGAGATCAAGAAGGAAATTTAAAAATTTCTTGAGACAAGTGCAAACAAAAACACAACATATCAAAATCTATGGGATATAGCAAAAGAAGAAATAATAGGAAAGTTTATAACAAAAAGGGCTTACATCAAAAATGTTGAAAAGCTTTAAATAAACAACTTAATGATACATCTGAAAGAACTGGAAAAACAACAGCAAGCCAACCCCAAAATTAGTAGAAGAAAAGAAATTATAAAGATGAGAGCAGACAAATAAAGCCAAAAAATACAAAGATCAAAGGAAAAAAAGTTGTTTTGTTCAAGAAGATAAACAGAATTGACACACCTTTAGCCAGACTAAAAAAAAAAAGAGAAAATCCAAATAATTAAAATCAGAGATGAAAAAAGAGACATTAGAACTGATAATGCAGAAATCCAAAGAATCATTAGAGATACTATGAGAAACTATATGCCAATAAGGTGGAAAACCTAGAAGAAATGAATAAATTCCTAGTATACGTATAACTGACCAAGATTGAAATAGGAAGAAATCCAAAACTTGAATAAATCAATAACAAGTAATGAGATAAAAGCAGTAATAAAAAAGTCTCCTATCTAAGAAAAGCTCAGAACTCGATGGCTTCACTGCTGAATTTTATCAAGCATTCAAAGAAGAATTAATACCAATTCTACTTCAACTATTCCAAAAAATCTAGGAGGAGAGGATACTCCAAAACTCATTCTATGAGAACTGTATCACCATGATGCCAAAACCAGACAAAAACATAGTAAAAAAGGAAAACTACAGGCTTATATCTCTGATAAACATAGATGTAAAAATCCTCAACAATACACTAAAGCAAACCAAGTTCAAGAAGACATTAAAAAGATTATTCATCATGACCCACTGGGATTCATCCCAAGGATGCAAAGATGGTTCAACATATGCAAATCAACCAATGTGATACATCACAGCAATAGAATGAAGGAAAAAAATCGTATGATCATTTCAATTGTTACTGAATAAGCATTCGATAAAATTCAACATTTCTTCATGATAAAAACTTTCAAAAACTGGGTATAGGAGGGCAGGGGCAATATTTGTACCCCTAACAATATTTGTACCTCCACAATATGATGAAATAAAAAAAATAAAAATAAAACTGGGTATAGAAGTAACTTACCTCAACATGATAAAAGCCATATATGACAAACCCACAGCAAGTGGGTCGTACTGAATGGGGAAAAGTTGAAAGCCTTTCCTCTAAGATCTAAAACAAGGCAAGGTTCCCCATTTCTACCGCTATTATTCAAAATAGTACTAGAAGTTCTATCTAGAACAATCAGACAGGAGAAACAAATAAAGGACATCCAAATTGGAAAGAAAGAAATCAAAATATCCTTGTTTACAGAAGAGATGATCTTATATCTAGAGAAATCAAAAGACTCCACAAAAAACGATTAGAACTGATAAACAAATTCAGTTGAGTTGCAGGATACAAAATCAACATACAAAAATCAGTAGCATTTCTATATGCCAACAGTAAACAAGCTGAAAAAGAAACCAAGAAAGCAATCCCATTTACAATAGCTACAAATAAAACAAAATGCCTAGGAATAAATTTAACCAAAGAGTAAAAGATGTCTATCACAAGAACTATAAAATATTGATGTAAGAAATTGGAGAGGACACACAAAAAAATGGAAAGATATTTCATGCTCATGGATTGGAAGAATTAGTATTGTTAAAATGTCCTTACTACCCAAAGCTATCTACAGATTCAATGCAATCCCCATCAAAATACCAATGATATGCTTCAAACAGAAAAGTAATCCTAAAATTTATATGGAACCACAAAAGACCCAGAAAAGCCAAAGCCATAGTGAGCAAAATGAACAAAACTGGAAGAATCACATTACCTGACTTCAAATTATGCTACGGAGCTGTAGTAACCAAAATGGCATCATACTGGCATAAAAAAATAGACATATAGACCAATAGAACAAAATAGAGAACCCAGAAATAAATCCACACATCTGTAGTGAACTCATCTTCTAAGAGGGTGCCAAGAACATGCATTGTGGAAAGGACAGTCTCTTCAATAAATGGTGCTGGGAAAACTGGATATCCGTAGGCAGAAGAATGAAATTAGATCCTTATCTCTACTATATACAAAAATCGAATCAAATAGATTAAAGACTTAAATCTAAGGCATGAAACTACTAAAAGAAAACTTGAGTAAATGCTTCAGGACTTTGGTCTGGCCAAGGATTTCTTGAGTAATAACACCAAAGCACAGGCAACCAAATCAATATTGGACAAGTGGGATCACATCAAGCTAAAAAGCTTCTGCACAGCGAAGGAATCAACAAAGGAAAGACACAACCCACAGAATGGAGAAAATATTTGCAAATTACCCCTCTGACAAGGGACTAATAACTAGAATGTATAAGAAGTGCTAACAACACAAGAGGAAAAAAATCAAATAATCTGATTAAACAATGGGCAAAGGATCTGAATAGACATTTCTGAAAAGAAGACATACAACTGGCCAACAGATATATGAAAACAAATGCTCAACATCAGAGAAATGCAAATCAAAACTGCAATGAGATATCATCTCACCCCTGTTAAAATGGCTTTTATCAAAAAGACAGGCAATAAGGATTGCTAGTGAGGATGTAGAGAAAGGGGAACCTTCATACACTGTTGATGAGAATGTAAATTAGTGCAACCACTATGAAGATCAGTATGGAGGTTCCTCAAAAAACTGAAAATAGAACCACATGACCCAGCAATCCCCCTGCTGAGTCTATATCCAAAGGAGGGGAAATCATTACATCAAAAAGATATCTGTACTCTCATGTCTATTGCAGCACTATTCACAATAGCCAAGATTTGGAATCACCTCAGTGTCCATCAAGATAAAAGGATAAAGAAATTGTGCTACATATACACAAAGGAATATTATATCGCCACAAAAAACAATGAAATTCTACCATTTGCAACAACACGGAACTGGAAAACATATGTTAAGTGAAATAAGCCAAGCACAGAAAGACAAATCTTGCATGTTCTCACTGATATATGGGAGGTAAATATTAAAAATAATTGATCTCTTGGAGACACAGAGTAGACTTATGGTAAGGTTACCAAAGGATGGGAAGGGTAGTGGGGAGGGGTGGATAAAGTGGGGATGGTTAATGGGTACAAAATTATAGTTAGGTAGTTTTAATGAATAATATTTTATAACCCGACAAAGTGGCTATAATCAACAATAAATCAGGATATACTTTAAAATAACTAAAAGAATGGAATTAGAGTGTTCCTAACAGGAAGAAATGATAAATGGATATCCCAATTACCCTCATTTGATTAACTCACATTGTATGCCTGTATCAAAATATCACATGTACCCTACAAATATATATAATTGTGAAAATAATAATTAAAATAATTAATAAATTGATAATTAAAAATAAATAAGAAAGTAAAGTCAGTAACTATAAAATGTCACTCTTCTGTACTTTTTGATACGTAGTTGGTAAAGCTAATTTAAGAGTCTGCATCAATAGTCCTTGACCACAGTGGCACTTTAGAAGAAACTAAGGGAGATTTTAAAAGATTTTAATATTGCCCTCACAGTTAAAGATCTAATTTAACTGCTCTGAAATGGGGCCTAGAAATCATTTTCATTTATTCTATATTCATTCATGTTCTCTCAAGGTCTCCAGGAGATTCTAATGTGCAGTGAGGTTTAAGATTCACTGGTCTATAATATTGCCATCAAAATAACACCTATTAATTATTGAGAGCCCCTTATTTATAAGGCAGTGAAATATATATAAGTTTATATGCTTTTACATGTATAAAATACATGTAAATAGATATGCACACATCTATATATATTCTCAAAGCAACTAATTTTACAAATGACAAAACTGATTGTCAGAAATATTAAATAACATATTTAAAGTTATGTAGCCATAAATGAATATAATCAGAATTTGAGTCATGCTTAAAGACTCTAATCTTATATCAAAATATTATTAAATGTACATATGAATATTTCACATTAAACACATTAATATATGCATGATTTATCTTTTATGAAACTATCCTTTCACCTTTAAAATTAACTAGCTACTACTGGACCTAATTATGTCAGGTAATAGGATTTCTACTGTATTCTCTTCATCTTTTTACTGCCTTCTATAAATATCATGCTTATTTCTTACCTCTGAACCTATTGCTTCTTTCTACCTATTGCTTCTTTCTCTCTACCTAACTATCTCTATCTTCCGATGCTGGTTACTACACAAACATCTTTGAAAAGCTAGTCCAGAACAAAGGCAGTCAATGTCTCTGCTTTCAAGATGGGTAGAAATGAAAATTACCTATGATTTGTCTCCCAAGACAAGAACCATTTACTCAACTACCTAATGTGTTTTATTAATAAGAATTTTGTGCGTCTTGGAGAACAGGCACACAATGTTAACAGAATAGGAGTTCATTGTATTTAGGGAACAAAGAACCTATGTGGGGTATCCAAAAGTTATGCTTGCAAAATTCTCAGGTTTGCAATCATGCAGTCACTTAGATGGACCTATATATGGATTACATTTTTCAGTTGTTATTTATAGTGAACCACTTACTATCAATAGGTTATCTATACCTATATGCTCTGGCACTTTGGTCATATTGATGACCAAAACAGACTGATCATGCAGTTATCCAATCCCTTGCTTATGTATAAACTTTAGTTAACACAGATGATCATTCAGAAACAATCTATATCTCTGTGCCATACTGAAGAGAGCATGTCAAATATCTTATTAAACTTGAGAAGTCAAAAGCATAGCTCAGAAACCAAATATGTTAGCTGAATTGCCCATTTAATGTATTTATATTAGCATAATATATACCCAATATTCCATGCAATTTGAGTTATAAAATGCAAGAATTATACCAATGGTTTTAATGTTACCAGGTTTCCTCTTTTAATATAAAGAGCATATCCATTGCAGTAAATGCTGTGATGTGCTTCCCAGATTACCCTCACTTCAGCACTGAAGCACCCTGTCTCCCAGATGCAGCTTGTAGCAGCTGACAACTCTTAGCTGAGGCTCTCTCTGGGTCTGCCCTCTGCTGAAGAGAGCCATCTTGGCTGAACATAGCTACCATGAGCTATAAACACTGTTGAAAGATCATGCTTTCTTCTCAGGGACATCCCGAGTCAAATGACTCATCATTGTGAGAGTATAAAGGCCCAGGATCCTATGAAAGCCTGGGGTGTGCAGAAAAAACAATAAATGAAATCCTGGCCCATATCCAGCTCACAAATGATCTAGTGGGTTCACAGAACCACCCAGAACTCATTTCCCTAATCTTTAAATCTACAATTGAAATAGAATAATTAATAGTTGGTATAGCCTCCCTACCCTTGATTTTTTGAAATGTTGGGTAAGAGCTAATGTGATGGGGAAGACCACATGGAAGCCCCTGAAACTGCCCTACCCTGGGAACAAAGGGAGTGAAAGTAGAAATGGCTCCACTTACTACTTGGGGAATTATTTTTGGTCATGTTAAAAGATTCTGGATTTTTTTAGCAGTTTAAATTTTTCATTTTTAATTATTATGGGCACATAATAGTGTCCTTGCAACTCTGGACTCTTCAAGTTTAGAGGTCCTATTTCTTGGAGGGAAAATGCTTCTTGCAGAGGATGTAGCATGAATCTTATTAAACTCTGAGCTACAGCTCATGCCCAGGCTCTTCAGGCCAAGAGACCTAGGGAAGGAAAGTGTCACCAGACTTATAGATCCTGATCTTCAAAAGGCAGTGGTGCTGTTATTAGCTAATCGAGACAGAGAAGGATATGTTTGACACCCTGATAATGGTCATTTCTTGATATACTTTTGCCTGATTTTGACAGGAAATGGAAGTCTAGTAGCTTCACTTGTGATCTAGACCTCTCAAGGTGTGAATCACCCCAACAGGTGGGCCACCTAGATCAGTTGAGGTGCTGCTAGTTGAGGGTGAAGAAAGTCTAAAATGGATAGTAGAGAAAAGAGACAATGAGTATCTGTTGTGGCCTAAAAGCCAATGACTACAATAGGGGCTGTAGCTTTTCTTATTAACTTTGCTCCCAAAATTTCTCCAGGAAAAGAAGGGCCTATTCAGATTAAGAGGAGCCACTCTTAAAACTTATAACATGAAGCAAGTAGATCCAAGCAGCAGTATGTGTGGTATATGCTGTAGCCAGACCTGAAGCACTTATTCTCCCCCTCCTGGTAAATTGTTGGATGACAACTCTGAAATAAGTCTCTTTCTGAGAACTGCTCTCTGATGAAGAAAGATATCTCATCTGATGAAGAAAGATATCTCGTCTCATGAAGAAAGATATCTCATCCAAAATCACATCCCACATCCAATAAACAGTCAATGTGGGAGCAAAAAGTCAGGACAACTCTGGAGGGACTTCCCAGTTTCAGAATTCCCAGTGACACTGGCTGATGTCATTGCTGAGACTCCACCACATTTTAATTTTTCCATCTGCCCAATCTAGCCATCTCTCTCCCCTCACAGGAGCTATCCTGATCACACTCTCTGATAAACTTCCGAAATACAAATCTCGTCTCAGAGTCTGTTTCTTGGGAAAACTTGACCTGTGACATCCACTAACTTTGTTTTCATTAAAAGGAGGATTAAAAACACAGAAAATCAATAATTGATAAGAAAAAAAGATAAAAATACACTGGTATTGCTTTAAAACTGATAAAAATAAATTTGTCTTTAAAAATGTCAAAGTATGTAGATGGTAATTGCTGTTTCATTGAACTAAGTATTAATTTCATGCTATATATTTGGCATACATTTGCATTTATTGCATAAAGATATACTTACATTTAGAATATTCATTATGCTATATGTACATTATGTATCATAGTATATGTTTTGAGAACTTTTAGATAAATATTAATGTATAAACCACATACTTCTCAACTTATAACAAAATAATACTTAATGCAAAACTTTCCTTTAGTATTCCATTAAATTTTTTTATTAATAGTGGACTCTATCCCCAAACTAAGAGAAAGTTAACATACCTTCACAGTGTGTTTAAGAGTTAAGAGTACATCCAGCCTCTCATCTTGAGAGATATTTTTCAGGATAATGCATTTATAGATGGATTGTAGTTCCCTGGCTCTGATGGTGAACTGTGTATCCATCTCAATTATTTTGCCATCATCTCTTCTCCACGTCTTCGGAGCTGAACACTTAAAAATCATATGTTTATAATTATCAGCTAATTAAAGGCTAAAAAATAGCAATTTTGTTTCTTCTACTAAAAGTTTAACTTAATATAATGTACTTTATGACTAAAAGTATCACTAAAACTTAAGAAAATTAATTGATGAATTTGTAGACCAGGCAAGGGAAAGCATTTTAGAAAAAGAAAACCTATGAGAGAGAGAGAGAGCTATTCAGCCTATAGAAGTGCAAACACACAAGATTCAAGATTTACTACTAATTTATATGTTGAATAGCTTGATGGATATATGGACTTACTCATTAACCCTATGAGGGGAAAAGCATGCCAATTGGAATGCTGAAAATAAGTTGATTGGTTCAATTATATTGAGTGGACATAAGTGTGTCTTGATCATGCCTTGCCACTTAAAGGCAACTTCTATGAAGCAATTGTAACAATCCTCAAATTATTTAGACTCAAGGATATATCAAAAAAGGGACTCTGTAAGTTATGGTTTGGTGTCATATAAAAAATAAATCTATAACAAGTTCAAAATTCTTCACAAAGCAGATAATGTCCATAGTGATACAACCATATTGCTATCACAGCAGTGCTATGGTCCCTGCCTCCCTGACACTGGCTAAGATTCTTACTCCCTGTTTCCAGATCTAGCTTGGTGCCTTCTAGTCTAGCCCACCTCCAGAATAAAGGGCCAAAGATAGAGTTCACTTACCCTGAAGTTCATCTGAAGACTTCCAGGTTAAGAATTCAGAGACTAGAGACAGGAGATAAACTGAGTCCTTTACAGACTCAGAGTAACCAGGATAATCTTTAATGCTGGTACTTCTATGCTTGCCACTGGTTATGTTCCCTCCTATCAAGACTTTTAGAGAAGATGCATTCACCTAGAATTTTCACAGTGAGAACTTGCTGCCTGTCTGCTCTTCTACTTTATGGTATAAAGCTGCTCAGTTTCTTCACCTGATTATAATTTTTCAGAAACAAGGCTATGTCGATCACTCTTGTTAGCTGTTCAAATGTTGGATGTTTTTGTAGGCTAATTGGTAATTGTTTTGAGGTCCATATAGTGCAATATATACCATGCTTCCAACCATTTAAATCTTAGATATGATACAATTTAAAGTTTAAGTAGAATCTCTATGTATTGAAACAAATCACCAGAAATATAGACTAGCCAAACAGAGTCATAATTAATTTTAGGCTGTATTTAGAATGACAGTATTGCAAGGAATTTTTGTTTACAACATCAATTTACCCTTAATTTTTTACATTTCATACTAGCTAAATTACATTGAGAATAGCAAATTACCTCTTAAAGACAACTATTCAATATATTTGATATGTTTTCAAAGTAATGGCATCATATTCTAATCAAAGCCAAAATGAATGTTGTTCAGAGCTAGGAACTTCATCAGAAACTTAAAATTCTCAATTCTAGTTGTAATCCAGTAACTAAGAAGCTGTAGTCCCTTAATTAATTTATATTATTAGAGAATAAGTTTAATATTAAATAATGTATTGTTAATTAGCAGACTGATAGAATTAAGTAAAATTGATTAAAGGATTATAAAAGGGAAATAGCTCAATAATAAAATATTTTATTACTTAATTATCATTTAGAAAGAAAATAATTTTCAAATGGATATAGCCTTGTTTTGGGTAAGCCTCAGAGTGTTACCGAAGTTTAAAGCTTGTTTCAAAGCTCTTTTTGAAAGTTTTGTTATTTTTTTATTTCAAAATATTAAGGGGGTACAAATGTTTTTGCTACATGGATACATTATATAATGCTGAAGTCAAAGCTTTTAGTGTGCCAGTCAGCAAAGTAGTGTGCATTGTGCCTGAAAAGTAAGTTTTAATCACTTACACCCCTCCCATCCTTTCCTTAGTTTCCAGTGTCCTTTATATCTCTTTGAGCCCACGTGTACCCATTATTTAGCTCTCACTTAGTGAGTACATGTGGTGCTTTTCCATTCCTGAGATACTTCACTGAGGATAGTGGTCTCCAGTTTTCCAATTTGCTGCAAAAGACATTATTTCATTCATTTTTATGGCTAAGTAGTACTTCTTGTAGTATGTAGAAAATGTAGTATATGTATATATATAAAATGTAGTATATGTGTATATATATATATATACACACACATATATATATATATACACACATATATATATATACACACACACACACATTTTCTTTAGCCACTCAAGAATTGATGGATGCTTAGGTTGATTCTGCATGTTTGCAATTGTGAATTGTGCTGCAATAAACATTGAGGTGCAGGTATCTTTTTGATAAAATCACTTCCTTTGGGTACATACCTAGTAGAGGGATTGCTGGATCAAATGGTAAATCTACTTTTATATCTTTGAGGAATTGCCATACTGTGTTGCATAGAGGCTATACTAATTTGTAGTCCCACTACAGTGTATAAGTGTTCCTTTCTCTCTGCATCCATGCTAGCTAGCATCTATTGTTTTTGGACATTTTAACAAAAGCCATTCTAACAGAGGTAAGGTGATAGATATCTCATTGTGGTTTTATTAATAATTTCCATTTTCCCTGATGATGTTGAGCATTTTTTCATGTGTTGGCCAATTGTCTGTCTTCTTTTGAAAAACCTCTGTTTATGTGTTTTGCCCACTTTTCGACGGGGCTGTTTTTTTCTTGCTGATTTGAGTTCTTTGCAGATTCTGGATGTTAGCACTTTGTTGGATGTATATTTATTAATATCATCTCCTATTCTATGGGTTGTCTATTTATTCTGTTGTCTTTTTTAAAGTTTTAAAGAATAAGCATTCTTTTAGGCTAAGTTTCATGTTACAATATTCTAAAGTTGAACTAATTTCTTAATCTTTGCATGCAATTTTCTTCAAGGTAGCTCTATTACATGTAATTTGCTTTCTTTTAGTAATGTGGACAATACCTTTTACTCTACAGGGTAGTAATTTATTTTATCTATAATAATCCAAGTATAATAACCTTTTTATGAAATGCCTAGTTTATTTATTTCATGATATTTTTTCAGTTGATGGCTTGATTTAGCTCTACCTTCCCTCCAAGTTTTTAGGCCAATCAAATACAGTATAATGTGGTCATATCTTAGACTTTTCCAAATATATTCTATATCCAAATCTTTTCCATCCTTCAATCTTAAACTCAAACCTTATCTCTTCCATAAAGATTCCTCCATTAAATACTATAATTTGGATCAATGATATCACTTGTATTTGAAATCTTATTGTACTTGTAAAAATATACAGGCACACATAAACACACACAAATATGCAGTGTCTCTATTTCAGTCACTAGGGGCAATGAAATTTGAATCCAAATTGCTCTATAATAGTTTTATGTATGTTAATTCTAATTCTCCCAAAAGGATATGAGAAATAAATTTCTCATGTAGTTCTGTTTATCTCATAGGGCCTGCAGTACTCATTCATTCATTCAATGAATATTCACTGTGTTTGCTATATATTAGTCAGTGTGCTAGACACTGAGTAGATAAAAATATTGTCCTAATTTCAAGAAATTTCAAATTTCATGGGATGTACAGGTAAGAAAAGTAATTAAAATGAAAGGTGGACATATTTTATGATTGCAGATAAATAGGCAACTACGGGTTGCTAGGAAGTACTTACTTGGTGAAAAGTAAATAGACTAAAGCCTGAAGAATAGCTAGAAGTTACCCAGATTAAAGGGAACTGAATGATACAATCAAATAATCCTAGATTTGAAGTTCAAGTTCCCTAAAGCTGGCACTGAGAAGATATAAAAACATCTGTTCAGCAAAGCTGTTTTTATACTTGGATATATTTCTGCCAACACTGATAACTTGGTCTTCAAGTCTAGACTTTTTTAATTTCAGGCTTTAAGGTGTTTTTTATTCTCACACAGGAAAACGTCAACTCTGCTTATTTCTTTTTCCTATTTCCTTTTTTCTTTTGAAAGCTTTGGCTGTAATAAGAGACATACAACAATCATGTTCTCAAATTGACTCAGAAAATAGGAGCGTAATAAATTCCATTTAGCTGCCAACAAATGAGACAGCACATACTCTGGAAGAGAGAAACAGAAGAACAGCAGGAAAACACATTTCCAGGAAGGGGAGGTGGAGAGATAACAAAAACCCTTGAGAGCAGCAGGCTTCCACAGAAGAGAAGAAATGACTGCACTGTGAGAGTCCATCTTTTCTTCCTCCTAAATTAATTCTCAGGTCCTTAAGGCCACAAATTATGGATAACCTTAACCTCTCCGCGCCCCACCAAAAGCTGCCGGGTAGTGACCAACTTTTCTTTTATACAGCCAATGGGTTTTGTTCAGCCATAGAGGCGCACCCCTGTTCAATTCAGTGCTCAGATAAAGGTGGGGGTATTTTTCTATCCCATTAGCTGTTAGCCACCTGAATATGGAGAAAAAGCGTTTAAATGACACAGCTAACGCCAATTATAGTTTTGTAAGCTTGTGACTATAAGAAGTGCTGTACAAATTAAAGAGAATAAAGAAATACATGACCTTGACTCTAGGGAAAACCTCTTACAGAAATTCAAATGGTCTCTTTACATAGGTACATTGAGTTCTTTACCCAAACAAGTAAAGAACACCCAAGATATATTAGAAACCAGATGATGATTTTTCATACAAATTTCTCGACCTGAATTTCTTCACCTCTGTCAACCTTTAAAATGTTAATATTTGATAACCTGTGGAAGTTAATGTTTGATGTGTTAAAATTACAAATTATTTAATGTTTCAAAAAAGTCTTTTGAGTCAGTCTTTTATTAAGAATGAGAACTTAGTATAGGTCTATTATAACTTATTAGTTCAATGCTTTGATTGGACTAATTTAAAATCACATCATTCATTATTCAGAGACATTCTATATTATAAAAAGATTAAAAATAAAATATTGGTTCAATAAGCCACATAGTATTTGGACTCAATGAAGTTAAACTAAAACCAGAACATAAACCTGTATTCTCCAACATTATTTCCAAATAATAGGAAAGTAAATATTTCTCTTTACATATCTATATGTTATGGTGCTAAATGTAGATCTTAAAATTTGCATAGAGTTCTAGATGTTAGTTTTGACATCTGAAAAAAACTGAACTTATCTAGCTGCAGGGATTAATTATAAGGTATTTTTTCATAGCAACCAAAAACACTAGAGAATAATAAGTTATTTCATTCAAATTTTATGAAATCAACACTGACTCTACCTGAATATTAGAGACAATGCTAGGCATGGGGGTGGAGGAGGTAGACAGGCATAAAGAGAAATACACATCATATAAGTATTTACATCAAAAGGCTGTAAAATTTATCTTGTTTCTCTCATTCTTAGTATGGCATCATATACAAAAAAAAGATTAAAAATGATTTTGTATTAGAGTAGAAATGAGTTTTTAATTTATTATAACAGGTTAGAAGCAGGCCAACAATCACTGTTAATCAATATTTTTAAAGACTGGATAATTAGGCTATCCAGTCTTAAATAATTGGATCAGGGATTGTCCTCAAGCTAGTTGATCCATTCTGTGTCTGTGTTTTTCCTGTCCTAGTGCAACACTTTGGTCAAAACTAAGGTAAAATCCCCTTGTCTCAGCTAAAATGTCCATTTTCCCTGAATTAGCCTGGGGATTGATGAGATTAACTGGTTTATCAGCTGGCGTGATGGTAGATTTAGAACACTAGTTCTAAAACCATCCTAGGGGAGACAGAGTGGCAAGAGAGAAAGCTGCCTCACAGCATCTCCTCAGAAGCTTCCCAGCCTTTCATATTCCAGGGGGATCACAAGGGATTTTAACAAGACTCAGATTAGCTATGGTTCAAGTCTTTGCCTATATGGCCTATTTGATACATGCAAGGCCATCAGGGTGCCATGGCAGAGCCATTTCCCTACAGATAATGGCAATCAATTTGGAAAGAAAGAAGTAAAAAATTAAGAAGATATTAAAGTAGAAGAACAAACAGGTTGGTGACTAAATGGGGAAGTGAAGAACAACACCCAGGTTTCTGTCTAGAGCAACTGAGTAGATGATGCAATATTCATAGAGACAGGTTATGTGAGTGTCAGAGAATAAGATCAGTTTGGAGGTGAGGGGGACAAAAACTGTGAGGTCATATGACTTAGAGGTGCCATGTCAACTTGAGGGGTACTCTTGGGATAGTCAAAGAGCAATGACAACAGCAATCTGGAAGCTCCTTAGAGAGATCTGGCCTGGAACTTTAGGGAGTTCCAGGATGCAAGTCTTATGTAGTTAAAGCCATAATTGAAATGAGATCAGATAGGAGAGTGTGTAAGTAAGATGAGAGGAGAGCATTTAGAATATCAAAAAAATATATATAGTTTTTAAGAACAAATGGTTCTTACATAATAAGAGTCATAGACCTAGAACTACTACAAGCTAATAGCTTGGAGAAATTCATCCCTTTTCTTTGGTAGCTGGATTGGCTTTAAATTGTTTGGAAAGATCAGGTTTAAAAAAGGAAATTAGTCACTATGGAAACAGGCTATTCAAAATCGAACAGGCAGTTTGACCACAAAAAGGGTAATTACTTTAGTTTTTCCCTTAATTATATGTTTTCATGGTTTTCAATAATTATATATTCTTTTGGTCAGAAATTTGCAGTCAGTTAATGATGTGGTAAGCAAATGCAAAAACACACGTCTATAGCTATTTCCCCCATATTGCTAACTATTGCGGCACCTCAGACCCAGACATTTTGTGACTTTAATACTCTTCATTTTATCACAATGTGCAACTCATCTAATTTATATAGCCAGCCTAAATCTAAATGAACAGTCACAAGAATGGTGTCTCCATCTTTTCTTTCATGGCCAAATCCCTTTAGTTGAGAATATATTAATTTCATGTTACTTGTCCATCTTTATTCTAGGCTGCAGTTAAAATCTAAAGCTACACCAGGAGAAAAAAATACAGAATTTAAAGAAATATGTCATCAAAATGCTAAACAAAATACATGTAAATTCTCACAATATAATTCTCTCCTTTAGTTCATTTTTCCACATTTTTAAACTCAAGATAGATACATTCATATTTAAATAGTAGTTACTTCACTAACCTTATCCAAAAAAGCTTGCACTGCTGTATCCCGCCTCTCTGTATAAGCAATGTATTTATGTCTCCCAATGGAAGCAATTATCTGAGTCTCTTTTTCCAGAACTTCGCACAAAGCAGCTTTCCTCTCAGCTCCAGTGAAATATTGGTTAATGCGTGTAATTTCTTCACGCCTCCAGACTAGAGAAATAATATGAAAGACTCTTGAGTTTTTAAAATCCCACATCTTTACAGAGCATTTTTGCCATCACATTCTGACAAGATATCTTTTATTTCCGATTCAATTTAAACAAAATTATACTTGAATAGAATCATTCATATTGTACACCTGATGTGGGGGTAAAAAGGATGAAATGGAAGCTTAGAGATTTAAAACAATAGGAGTAGAGTTAAAGAAACAGAAGTCAAAGGAGATCAGTATAAACAATGTCAAATTATACCTTCAAGGAAGCAGGAGCACTCCCCAGCATTGAAAAAAATAAGACTCGGGTTTTGTGGCAGCCATAAATGTATGTACACTGCTCAGATCTCTCTTCAAGAGAATACTTCGCACGAGGAGTAGAGGTGGCTGACAGTTCCAGCTACAGCACTTCGGATCTGCTGCAGCGTTGGAGCAGAAGCCACACTCTGCCAACAAAGCTCTCAATCAATGACTGAGAGCCATGAGGGAATCAGAGCCTTGCCTTGTCTGCCCAACAGTGAGCAGGCATTTTTGCCATGTTTGACCAACTTCTTGGTCAATCATATCAAAGCTGACCATTGGACTGGTTTAGACTTGCTTACAGTTGTATCGATTTGAGACTCTCTATACCCTATTGTCTTTCCTTTTCTCTCTCAACTTCCACAGGTGACAACTTCATCTAAACCTAAAGACTCTCCTTGCCTTTATCTGCTCCCTCTCCCCTTTGTCTTTCACTTCTAACTCAACTCTCTTGGTGTCAGCTTCCTGTAGGACCCTAATTGACACAGTTTTATGTAGAATTGTTGACTTCAATTGTTTTCTTCATTCACTTAGGTACCATTTTCCATTTCCTTACAAAACTCTAAATTATAGCAGCAAATGGGATAAACATTTAACTAATCGCATTTACTCTTTACTCAAACCAATGCACTATGTTATAATAATATTTATGATATTTCAAAGCATTGGTTACTAACAATAAAGAATGTGTTGCCCAAACTTAAATAAATCAAAATATCTGAGCTCAGATAATAAACTTTTAACAAGTGTTCCATTCAATTTTTGTGTATACTAAATTTGGGGACAAAAACTCTTTTGTATTTTATGTTTCAAAAACATTAACCTTATTTACATTAACAGAAGAATAGCATTGGAAAGAAACTTAGAAATTAAATTGCTCAACCACACATTTCAGAAAGTGTCCTCCTCTTAGCTTGGACAAGTTTAATTTGCCCATCCTGGTCCTAGTACTAGCTTGTGAGGCAACACAGCATCAGTCTATTTCTTGGGCCAAATGGTATCTCTTTGGGTATCTGAAGGTAGCCACCACATCCTATTTGTGTTTTCTCTTCTCCAAATATACACACTTCCGTTTCTTAAATTGTATATCATTTGACTTATCACATCCAAGTCAAGCTCCTCTGGTTTCTTACAGTATCTCTTAAAATATGGTACACCAAATTTCTGTCAAGATAGAGGCTTCTACACAAGTTGCTACCTTCTCTCTCCTAAGTCCCTACTGAAATAGTAAAAGAAATATGAAATGGGGGAGAAGATATAGAGACTTGAAGCAGTACTGAAAATTAGAGACGAATTAGATGCTTATGGTAGAAACTTTGGGGAATTTCTAAAAGGTATAGTACAGATACCATTGAATAAATTGAACACACTGTCAAAAGGGAGCACAAATATCGTCCCCTAAATTCCTGCCATCCCATCTCAGAAAGTGAACATTGTAGTAGAAAATGGTAAACCCCAATTTAAGTGACTCATAACTAGCAAAAAGGGTAAGCTATGAAGCTATTTGACAGTTTAACTTGCTTTAAGAAAGTCTGAAAAATTTTCAGAAGAATGCCTAACATTTTAAATTACTGTTTAATAGTTTATGCAAAAAAGACAGAAAAAATATTTTAAAGAAAGCAGAAAGCAAAATGAGAGAAGCAAAACAAAGCATAATAGTTATGTTGAAAAATATGAAATGGTTATACTTATATTTCTCTGTTGAAATAAAATAGAATAATTTCATAAAAACCTAGTGACATGATGTTTTCAGGAGGCACACTTAAAACAAAGTGACACCAAAGGTGAAATATAAAAGGTTGACAAACATGAACAAAAAAGAAAGCAGAAGCAGCAATATTATTATCTAAAATTGGAGGGAAGACCTTACAATTCAATCTCTGAAGTGGAAGATAAATTTTATGATGAAAGGCCTGTCATGAATGTTTATAAAGAATATCACAGAAATAAAGAAAACTTCTACTGGTTAGAAACACAACTATGGGGAGTAAATTTTATATTATAGAAACATAAATAAAATAGTAATGTGTTAATTTTTTTTTCAGCATATTATGGGGGTACAAATGTTAAGGTTATATATATTGCCCTTGCTCCCCCCCCGCCCCCTTGAATCAGAGCTTCAAGCATGTCCATCCCCTATGACAGTCAAGTAAAACTAGTATTAAAAGAATAAAATATTTGGATAGTATGATTAATATATTTAATTTATATAAATCAAGCTTTGAACACCAAAATATAAAAACATATCCTATTTTCAAAGGCCTATGAAGCATTTATATAAATTTATCATATTGTAGAAGTAAAAATCAGAAATTTTGCAAACTGCATTTTTTGACCACAATACAATTAAACTTGAATTCATAACAAAAGTTGAAACAAATATTCCTAATTGCTTGGAAATTGAAGAAGTGTCGCCAAAAATAACTCATAAATGTTGGAATAGGACAAATGGAACTCTGTGAAGTGATGTACAGGTTTTCATTTGCAGCTAAAGTCCAACATTGATCAACAAATTAATAGACTGTAGCTACGATGACAATTTTGTCTTAAACCATATGCAGTAACTAACAGTTCCTGCTCTTCATAGAGGAAATCAGCATTCCACAGAAGAATTTTTCAAGCCTGACAAAATGATAAACTATGCTGTGTGTCATCTTTTTTTAAGCTACTATTTCCTTGTGTTCTGTTCACTGATAACTAGAGTAAAGTAAATCATTCAGAGCAGAAATGCCAACATAGCTGTAACTCACTAACTTGCTGAACTTCAATAGATAGGAGTTCATTAAGTGCTGTTGGCTGTGACATGTATACACACTTCTACATATGTATACTGCTTTCTTTCATAGTAAAATCTCTCACTACAGAAGTTTTCTCTGGCTGAGGGTATTTTAACATCTTTGTGATACAGGATTCATCCAAAGGCCTTTCCAGGTGATTCTCTCTCAAGGTAGTTCCAAATACAGTGAAAACCAATAACCAGCAGTAACTCTATCACTAGGTAGTAGAGCAGAAACTTCTATATATATTCTGAAAAAAAAAAAAAAGTACCACTGCCAAACACTTGGAAAGTATAATAAACACTTTTCTAAAAGAAGAGCTGATTTCACCAGAAAGTAAAGAAAACCCGTATGGAACTGAGTCTTTACTCCCCTTCTTCCTCCCCTGCCACCTCCCCCTCACATACAGAGTAAGGAAGCCCAAAAAGTCTACCTTCAGTACAAAAGAAAATATCCATAGGCCGAGAAAGGGTAACAAGTAGGTGGCTTGTGTAAGGCTTACTTCACCCTAAGCCTTCCAGGAATTTCAAACAAACAAGAAAAAAATTCAGCTCACTTAAGTTTACAATGTAATGTTTAAAAATATTGAAGACAGTACATATATCCACTGACAAATGTATGTAAGATATATTAATCAAAATTTTGTTCATAAAAAACAAAAATCAGAAGCAACATTTAGCAATTGGAAAATAGATAAATAAATTGTGGTACATTTATACAATGGAATACTCTGTGGAAATTTAAAAGAACTAGCTAGAACTATAAGCAACAACATGGATGATGTATGAAAAACAGATATAACACCGAGGCAAAGAAGTCAGAAATAAAAGAGAATATTCTACACAATCCCATTTAAATGAAGCTCAAAAACAGGAACAACTTATCTGGCAATCGAATTGAGACTAGTGGTTTCAGGGGTGGAAATGGGGTATTGACCCAGACAGAAGATGAGAGAAACTTCTGGGGCATAAATATATTCTATATTTTAACACAAGTAAAATATATGCTATATATAATATATGCTATATATATGTAAAATATATGCTAGATATATATGCTATATATATGCTATACATATGCTATACATATGCTATATATATGCTATATATATGCTATATATATGCTATATATAATATGCTATATATGCTATATATATGTTTGCATATGTAATATATGCTATATAATGTGTCTACATATGTAAAAATTCATAAAGCTATACACTTAAGACTTGTGTACTTTATAATATATATATTACATTCAATATTTTAAAACATTAACCACTTCGATACAGCAATCACCGGCCGCGAAACCTTGCCCACAGCTGGCACTCATAGTCTGCACGATAGTCTGTGCTGTGCATTGATGATGAATTGTTTTGCTCTTGTGTGATGAGGAAAGCTTTAAAGCACTGAAAGCTTCTTTTACTTTACAGGCAGCTTTACTTGTAATGTAAATCAGAATAGGTAAATCAGAACATATACATATATGTTTTCATTGTTATTCTTAAATGTTCACAATTTTATTTTGATAAATGAAAAATTAGAAAAGTCATATCACGGCTGTCAGCTAAAGTCGACGCTCAGCTGTGCACCTTCATATCAAGGCTGTTGGCTAAAGTTGCTGTGCGCGTTCATCTGTGGCTATCAACTATAGTCGATGCTGGTACCGAAATGGTTAAGAAAGATAAGTAAAAATCAGCAGGAATGTAGACTTGTCAAAAAGTTCAGGCAACAAAGTTGTTTTATTTAAAACTATAAAATAACTATTTGCTAAAATGGAAAAAAACATGTAAAATATAATAAACATCAAATGAATTTGAAAAGGGTCAAATAAAACTTTTAAAAATTATATTTATATTTTTAAGATCAAAGCTTAGTGGATGAGTTAGCAATTTAGAAAGGCCTAATAGAAAATTAGTAAAC